CCTCCTCCTCCTCCTCATCCATACAGGATTCGGCCTGATCTAAGGACGGATAAATAAGGAACGAAGCCCTCCTTTTGTTCCAGTCTACGAATTCCGCAGGAACGGACCCGGGCGTCCAAAATCTGAAGGAACACCAGGGGGACTCGCCGCCAAAAAGGTAGCGGAACGCATGCAAACCAAAGGATCGACCGAGCCCCTTTTGAAAAGTAAGTGCTCCTGACTCAAGCTGGACCCTGTAGGACTTCTAAAGAGGGCCCCGAAGACGCCTCCTCTTCTTTCAGATCCCAAACACACAATAATTTGGAAACATTGAGCCGCCATCAGCTGGGCCATGCTAAGCTGAGCTACGCAAGACCACAAACAGAGCAAGGTACGATGCGACAAACAGACATCTGCATAGCTAGACTATTCCTCAGGCATGCTTGGGCGGACCCCTCCCTTGGCATGACTGCTGAGTCACTGATGCCCCATCTACTTCGCTTCTTTAGACAACTTGCGTAGGAATCCTTGTGGGGCACTCTCCTCCGAGTGGACGCTGATCCTGCAAGGAGCTCGAACACAGAAGCCCCCCAAGCATACGTCGTGAAAACTTGAGAGCTCTAGTCTCCTGCCGTTGAAAGCCATCGAACACAAGCCTCGGAGAAGCATGGTCCTGCCTTCTGAGCTACATGCGCAATCCTAGGGGAAGATGAAACGCCATTGCCATACACAAAACCTGTCGGAGATTCGCGCGGATGTTGTGGATCGCCGCTGAGACCCCCTCCCTGGCGCGAGAAACGCGCCAGGGGCGGCGCCTGAGGCGCTGCCAGAGGGGCCCAACGCAGATCCAAGAGATCTGCCCGGAGACTCGGAAGCTGCTGTTAAGGTCATGATTTCTCCTCTGGCATCAGCACGCGCAGAGAGCGCATCTCGGAGAGTGCGCCTCTGGCCAAGAGCCCACCGCAGGCAGCAGGCCCATCTTGAAGGGCAACCGGCCGGCACCCGCCAGCAAGAGGACGCGGCCCTCCAGGACGACCCGCCGCGCCCCGTCCCTGCTCGTTCGAGCGGTGCGGGGGCACGCCCGGCGTGAGGAGTCTGCGTGCGGTCGGGAAGCTGCAAACGGTCGGGACTCTACATGCGGTGGGGACTCTACGTGCTGTCAGGAACTCGGCACACGAACCGGAGCCCCTGCTCGCTCTGCATGCGAGAGGAATCTGCCCGATGATCCTCAGCACGCGTGTTGACGCCAGGGCAGGAGAGCCCAGAATCGAATCGATAAATCGGATCGGCAATCGACATGAATCGGATCGGCGGAAATCGGCAGCCGAATCGGGAAAAGTCGAATCGGCGGAAATCGGCAGGCTAGTATGCCTCCAATAAGAAATCGGAATCCAAATCGGACGCCCAAGTCGAATCGAATCGAAATCGGAATCCATCGAAGTCGAATCGAATCGAATCGGAGGAATCGAAACGAGCCCTGCCAGGGTGTGCCTGTCCACCGAGGCCCCTCGGCGCAGGCGCAGGCGCTGCCATCAGGGCCAACAACGGGCGGCGTGTTGGCGGCGGAGCCGGGCGGGGCCAACACACATTGGGCCAACACGCGTCCTGGAGGAGGAGGAGGAGGAGGAGGAGGAGGAGGAGGAGGGTGTGCCTGTCCACCGAGGCCCCTCGGCGCAGGCGCAGGCGCTGCCATCAGGGCCAACAACGGGCGGCGTGTTGGCGGCGGAGCCGGGCGGGGCCAACACACATTGGGCCAACACGCGTCCTGGAGGAGGAGGAGGAGGAGGAGGAGGAGGAGGAGGAGGAGGAGGAGGAGGAGAAGGAGGAGGAGGAGGAGGAGGAGGAGGAGTAGGAGGAGGAGAGGAGGAGGAGGAAGAAGAGGGGGGAGGGCCAGGAGGAGGAGCGGACCGTAGAGGAGGAGGAGGAGGAGAGGAGGGGGGTAGGAAAGGAGGAGGAGGAGGGAGGAGGGAGGGAGGAGAGAGGAGGAGAATGGGGAGAGGAGGAGGAGGGAGGAGGATCCTCGATCTGCTGTCAGCAAACTGCGGCTCCGCCGTGCCGCGGCGGCGGCCCCTGGCGACACGCTCTGCCCCGCGAGCGGGGCGCGTGCCGCTCCGCTCCCGTCCCGGGGCGCCGGAGGGGCGTCGGGAGACCCACCAGGGGCCGAGCGCGTTGGAGAGCATCTCGATCGCCATCGGACCAGAAAACAAACGACACCACTTCCTCCTCCTCCTCTTCCTCCTCCTCCACCTCATTATTCTCCTCCCCTCCTTCCTCCTCCTCCTCCTCCTCCGCCTCCTCCTCCTCCTCCCTCTCCTCCTCCTCCTCCTCCTCCTCTCCTCCTCCTCCTCCTCCTCCTCCTCCTCCTCCTCCTCCCCTCTCCTCCTCCTCCTCCTCCGCCTCCTCCCCTCCCCCTCCCCCCTCCCCCTCCTCCTCCTCCTCCTCCTCCTCCTCCTCCTCCTCCTCCTCCTCCTCCTCCTCCTCCTCCTCCTACGGCCCCACGGACCTTTGTATATACCCATCCAGCTCGGGCGTCTGCATGGTATGCGCTGCGGCGCCCGATGGGCCGCAGCGCAGCAGGGAGGGTCGTGGGCGAGGCGGGGCGGTGTCGTGCCTGTTTTCTGCTCGAGCCGTGACCGTCTCTCGCATCCTTTTCCTGCCCGCCACATTCCTTCGGGAAGTGCTGGACGGGACAGGGCAGGAAGACTCTTGGAGTCAGAGGGCGCAAGCGAAAACGAAGCAGGTGCAGGCGCTGGTCGGGCGACGGGGCAGGACAATTAGGGGGGGGGATCAAGGGCTGGAGCTGGAGGGCACAGTGAGAAGACGGCCCGACAGGGGGGGTGGGGGGAATCAAGGGCTGTAGCTGGAGGGCAACGGCCATCTGCCTGGCAAAGCATTGCGAGAGGAAGAGAGAGAGAGAGAGAGATAGAAAGAACCAGAGAGGCCGAGACAGGCGCGCGGCCCACACACACACACACATAGTCCAGCCACGAAAGAGAAAGAGATGGAAAGAGCGCCAGAATGGCTGAGGCAGACGCACGATGCCCTGCATTAGAGGAGAACAACGAATACATAAGCTTACACTTTCGACGGTCCGCGCGGATTTCTTGATATCTGCGCCGGACCCCCCTCCCCGGCACGCGGAGCGCGCCAGGGGCGGCGCCGGAGGCGCCGCCAGGGGGGCCCAGCGCGGATCCGAGAAGTCTGCGCGGAGCGCCAACAGTTTATGTTTATAGCGTTTTTCCTTCTTCGAGAGGAGAGGAAGTCGAAAGATCCAGGCGGCGACAGCCCCCAGCATGTCGGCGTAGAAATCCCACTCCAAGTTCATCGCGCTACCTTTAGGTTGGGCGTGTCCTCCTACAGGCGGATTCCAGACGAAAAATAAGAACTAGCAAAAACAATAAAAACTGCTCAGAAATGGTCGCCAAAATCGTCCCCATACTATTTTTGGGTTATTTTTGAATAGTCCACCTGTAGAGTGACAGGCCCGACTTAACGCTACCTCCGCGCGCACTGGACCAACGCGCCGCGTCGCCCTCTTTGCGCTCACAGTCTCCCCCAACTGTGATTGCTATCGATGCGGGGCAAAGGCGTGTTGTGGCAACGCTGGCGTTGGTTTCTGCCACCGCGTGGATCGTTCAACCTTGCACGACCGCGACTTTCCGTTATCCTCCTCCTCCTCCTCCTCCTCCTCCTCCTCCTCCTCCTCCTCCTCCTCCCTCTCCTCCTCTCAGCGTCGTGGCTGCAGGCTGTCCGCCTGCCCAGCCGCGCTCTGTCAAGGACCCCACCCGGCCATGTGGGAGGAGCCCGAACGAGCGGTCCAGCCTCGAGCAGCGACTCTCCAGCTGACCAAATGCTACGAAATTGTTCGTCGAGCTTTATGTTGCTCCCATCGTACATAAAGACCACATCCCTCAAATAATTTCGAGCACCCGGAAAAATGTCGAAAGTGTCGAAACAATGTCGAAACAGTGTCGGACGAGTGTCTCCCAGGGCCCGACACGTGAAAACGCCCGAGATTCGGCACTTGTTGGCGCTCGAAACTCTTTCTGGTGATCGAGGCCAAAGTAGGGTGGAACACTATAAAGTCGAGCTGTTTTTGTCCAACCAGCGTGAAGTCGGGCCTGTCCCCCTGCAGGGGGATTTTGGAGGAAAAAGTACCCCAAGAGATACTAAACCAGAACTGCCCGCAAATAGTCAAAACACAGTCCCCAGACTATTGTTTACTATGTTTGAATATCCCTCCTGTCGAGGCACAGGCCCGACTTAAGCGTTGCTCTGAAGCTAGTGCTGCCCCGCTCTCGGGGGGGCTGCGACGAGGAGCCCCGAGTCTGCAAGCCTCCCCGCCCCTGCCCCCCCCCACACCCGGCTCTGCGCCCTTGCCTGCCTGCTGCGATCTCGGGAGGAGGAGGAGGAGGAGGAGGAGGAGGAGGAGGAGGAGGAGGAGAGGAGGAGGAGGAGGAGGAGGGGAGGGGGAGGGGTGGTGGGGAGGGGAGGAGGAGACGGAGGGAGGAGGAGGAGAGAAGGAGGAGGAGGAGGAGGAGAGGAGGGGGGGGAGGAGGAGGAGGAGGAGCGGAGGAGGAGGGAGGAGGAGGAGGAGGAGGAGGAGGAGGAGAGGAGGAGGAGGAGGGGAGGAAGGAAGGAGGAGGAGGAGGAGGAGGAGGAGGAGGAGGAGGAAGAGGAAAGGAGGAGGAGGAGGAGGAAAGGGAAGGGAGGAGGAGGAGGCGGAAAGGGAAGGGAGGAGGAGGACGAGGAGGAGGAGAAGGAGGAGGAAGGGAGGAGGAGGAGGACGAGGAGGAGGAGAAGGTCAAGACCCCACGCAGTGCAAGCACTGTTTGGGGAGCATGTGGCGTCGCCCCTGCTCTCCTGGCGCCGAAGGGGACCTGCGGGCAGACAGCGGTACCGTTCTTCCCTCCCGGCGCCACCTGGCTGCAGCCCAGCGCTGGCCGCCCTGAGCGTAGAGACGACGGACGTCCCCTGCGGCACGCTCACTGCGAGCCCCGAGGGGCTGCTTGCGTTGGTCTTCAGCGCCACTGGCTTGCTGGCAGGAGGGGGGCGGCGGGGGGGGGGATGGGGCAACGCACCAGAAGAGGCAACCTGAGGATTTGGATACCCGAAGTGGGTACGGAAGAAATGGGTACAATGCCCAACAACAGGTGTTGTCCAAAAACCGAACGGCCGCTGTCGGGCAGGCGAAACCAACATCCGCGTCGAAACCAACAGCGAGCCCTGTTCAAAATGAACAGGGAATGCTGTCGGTCTTTGTACCAACTCTTCCCATACAATCCGCCGACCCTGTCGGCGTGTGCACGGGGTCTGTCTGTTCGAGTCGTCGTCTCTGTCAGTCGTCGTCTCCGTCGTCCCCTTTCCGTGCAGCCTCCTCCTCAAGCCTGTCAACGAAAGAAAAACTAGCAATATCACAATCGAATCGAAGGGAAACCCCTTCCCTTTGATCCCTCCCCAGTCGGGGGAACAAAAAAAACAAGACAGGCCAAGAATGGCCCAAGAGGTCCCCAAGACGGTCCAAGAGGGCCCCCAATCGCCAAACGATCGGTCCCAAACGCTTTCACGCTCTCAATGCTGCCCAAGAGGCATCCAAGACGCTCCAACAGGCCTCCAAGAGCACTACCGAGATGACCCCCAAAAAACAAATTATTGATGCGCCTTCAGGTTTTGAAAGATTTGGATGTTCTCGCCTTCTCCGCGTCCCGCCGCTCCAAAACGGCCGAAGAGGCCCCCAAGATCACCCCAAGACGGCTCGAGAGGCCTCCAAGAGGGCGACGAGACAGCCCAAGAGGACGCCAAGACGGCCCAACACGCCTCCAAGGCGGCCCCAGAGGCCCCCAAGACGGCTCCAAGAGCGTGCCCAGACGGGGGACCCAAACGGACATTTCGAGCCCTCGGCCCTGAGAGGCTGGCTCCCATGAAACCCCACGAGGCTCCCAAGAGGCCCCAAGAGGCCCACAAGAGGTCCCCAGGAGGCCCCAAGAGTCCCCCAAGAGGGTCCCAAGAGGCCCTAGCAGTTCCTCCTTAGAGGCCCCCGAGAGCCTTCCGAGGAGACCCCAAGAAGCATCCCTGAGGACTCTGGCCCACGTCAGCGTCGTCGTCGTCGTCGTCGTCGTCGTCGTCGTGGTCGCCGCCGCCCCCGTCGTCATCGTCGTCGTCGTCGTCGTCGTCGTCGTTTCCCTTCAGGGTCGGCGGCGCCGACCGTCACGCCTCCGCAACACTGGTAGTAAGGATGCGCGGCGAGGGTGCAAGCCCCTCAGACGCCCATGTCGAGGTTCTTCCAGCGGGGCTGGCCATCGAACGTGGCGAAGGATGGACCCCAAAGGCATGGATGGTGAGCGTTTTTCTTACTCACTCGGCGTTTCGACAGTGGGCGAAAGAGGGGGGGGAGGGGAGGGGGGTCTGGCTCCGGACCTCTGCTTAGTGCGACTGTTTGCAGCAGTGCGTCCTCTGGGGGGGCATCCACCTGCTCGAAATAGGCGCCCCCCAAACAGCCAAGATCTACTCCATGGGGGGGAGGGAGGGGGGGGTGCGAGGACCCGCGCCGATCGGCAAAACAACGAACAACAAAAACGATCACATCCTTCCCATCGGTTTCGACTGTACCCATTTCGATCGTCCAGGGTGAGGGGGGAACCACAGTGCGACGGGTAGCGAGGGGGGTACCAAGGACAGGCAGCGAGCGAGGGGAAGGCTGGGAGCAGCGGGGCACGCCAGACCGGGAGAGCAGGATCGCACGAACGAGCGCCACGTGTGGGAACAGGCAGATACCAAAGGAAGAGAGGGAAGGGGAGGAGGGTGAAGGTGGAGGCCGACTCGAGACATACAGAGAGGTGTCGAAAGAGAGGGAGGGAGGGAGAGGGAGAGAGGGAGAGAGAGACAGATGATGAGAGAGAGAGAGAGAGAGCGCGAGAGAGAGGAGGAGAGAAAGGGAGAAAGGAAGAGAGAGAGAGAGAGCCCTGGAACCTCCTGGGAGTCGCTCGACGGGGGGGGCCCTCTGGGAAGAGGCCAGGCCAAGTCGGGTCGGGTGGCCCTGCGCCCCGCGGCGGCCGTCGGCAGGCGCAGCACGAGGGCCCCGTGGAAGCCGGGCGGACACCTCAGGCCTGCCGTGCGCCTGCCGCCCGCCTGCCGCCCTCCCCCTCCTCCTCCTCCTCCTCCTCCTCCTCCTCCCGCTCCTCCTCCTCCTCCTCCTCCTCCTCCCTACCGCCCCTCCTCCTCCTCCTCCTCCTTCCTCCTCTCCCCTCCTCCTCCTCCTCCTTCCCCTCCCCCTCCTTCCCCCTCTCCTCCTCCCCTCCTCCTCCCTCCTCCTCCTCCTCCTCCTCCTCCCTCCTCATCCTCTCCTCCTCCTCCTCCTCCTCCTCCTCCTCCTCCTCCTCCTCCTCCTCCTGGCGCGCCCGAGAGCGCAGGGGCGGAGCGCGGAGCGGTGCCCGCACCGCGGCTCCCGGAGGGGGCGGGTGCCGAGGCGGCGACGAGCGCGGAGAGGCGGGCAGGGACGCCCTGCCGAGCTGGGCTGCCGTCATGTGCCAGGCGTGTCGGCAGCAGCGGCAGCAGCAGCAGCAGCAGCAGCAGCACATCTGTCGCGACAGCGGCGACGACCCCATGTCGCAAGCCATGCAGCAAAGGGGGGCAACTCACGGGTGGCTGGCTCTGCGGGATCGGATCATCGTGGGGCGCAGAAGGACATACGCAGGAGGCGTGCGTCCGACCCAAACCTATCATACAGCGTATTGTGGTACATCGTTTCCCGAGCGGTATGGGCAAATAGCGCCCGCCACGGATCTTAAGATTGTGCTCTACTCGCAGGCCACTCTCCAGTTGATCAGACGCTTCTGTATATAGAAGACGAGGCGTGTGCTTGTGGGCGAGAAGAGAATGAGCGGGAGGCGGTGGTGCTGGGACACGCCCAGGTCAGCTTTTGCGAGGGTGTCTCGCGCGAGATCCCCGGCCTGGGACCCCCCGGGCGCGCCCCGGCGCGCGCCAGCTGATCCCTGGAACTGGTCCCTAGGGGTGCAGCGGGTCCTGGCTTTCTCGCGCGCTGGGGGTCGTTTGGGAGGACGTCTCGCGCGAGAGCCCTGGACTGGGACACACCCGGTGCGCCCCCGCGCGCCCCAGCGCGTCTGAGGAGCTGCAAGGCTCGGGGGGCCGGTTTTCTCTGAGGATGTCCCACGCGAAGGCGCCGGTGTGGAATTCGTCGCCGGATTTCCCTATGCCCCCGAAACGGAACGGGGAGGCGGAAGGCTGGCCCCTTCCCTCGCGCGCTGGGGGTCAGGGCGGCGTGAGTTCTCAAGACAAGCGTCCTCAAAGAGTTCTCGGCGCGCGCGTCGCTCCTGGGGGAGCGACGCACAGATAGTACTGGTATGTTGGAGCGACGCCGATTCCGCAGGGGTCCTCGGCCCCACTGAGCAGCAACGTGGTTGTTTTCCGCAAGAGAAGACGTACAATGATGACAACTGTCAGCTTCGCGGCTGATGGAAGGGAACTCCAACATGCAAGCACGCTCCGAAGACAATGAGGATGACGGGGAGCAGGAAGAGGAGGACGACGAGGAGGAGGAGGACCGTTTTCGATGCGGCGGTACCGGTAGAAATTCAGGACCTTCGGTGGGATACCTATGTCGCGGGCCTCCAGGAATGCGTACGAAACTACCATCACGGGGTTGGCTCCATAGGTCAGATCCTTCCGGCGGCCAAGACGTTTTTGGACCGCACCAAGAACGTCATCCGCAGCCTGCTCAAGGCATCCAAAAAGACACTTCTCGAGACCTTCGCAAAGGAGCTCAAGAATGCCAGATATTCTCATGAATGTAGGTTGCAATGGAGTATCATGAGACGTATGATGAAGTTCGGTGGGTATCGCAAGAAGGCTGCACCGAGAGGCCTCTGGGATCGACTTGATATGGTGGGAGCCCCAGTTCAATCAAGGCAAGGGCTTAGCATGGCCCGCACTACATACTTCGCGTCGCTTGAGAAGTGTGATGTCATTAAATGAGATGAACTTTGCAAGCGATACAATAAAACGACTTGGCCTCCACCTACATGCGCTCAATCATGCAACAACATGATGATGACCACACGGGAACTCCTATATCTGATCCGCAGTGCCGCTACCAAGAAAGCAACGGGACCTGATACTATCTCAGTGGATCTCCTACGCCTTGCAGCAGACGAGGCCACTGAAATTATTTTGCCAATCTATTCCCAAATACATGTGCACAGAAGAGAACCACTTGCATTCAAAAGAGGTTGGCAGGTGGATTTATTCGAGTGGATTGAGTGCGCCGATCACGAATTACAGAGGTATCATGCTGGGTGCACATCTGGCCAAGATACATCAAAAGTTCTTAAGGTCCCGTCTTGTGCAACCATTGCAAGAACTGATCAATGCATATCAAATGGGAGGATTGGTAAAGAGAGGAACTGACATTGCAGCCCTCATCGTATACACAATCGCATAAGTGACGAAAACCAGGAAACATACATTGCTCATGTTGTTCACGGATCTACGGTTGGCCTTCTAATCAGTGGTCAAAGCATGTCTCTCGAGGCATGCACAAAGCACGGAGAAACTTAGCGAGATATTGGATGCCATGTAGATCCCTGTTGCTCTCATCCCATGTATGTAATCAACTCGTGGCCATGCCTGGACTATTGGACAACATTTCTAACCAGCATCCTGTCGCCTCAACAGTGGACACGATGAACAATACGTGGTTCCAAGTTCAGGGTGCCAAGCAAGTTGTTCAGCCAAACGGAGGCACCAGACCAGGCATGCCACTAGCCGACTACCTGTTCGATGTTGCTTTCTCACAATTGCAGATCAGCACCAACAAGCGCCTGCATGATACCAGTCTACTTCCTGCCCTTTGTGCGTCTGTATACATCCGCAAGCCTTTCGGCCACCAACGCCCCCGAGCGAGAGCACCGTATGGGGCCCATCGTATGTCGATGACATCGTCACTTTGGCCGAGATCGTGGGTGCACTGCAGTGGCAGACTGCGGCCTCAAGGATGGCTGCGATTGTTCATGAAGAAGCAAC